GGAAGACCACCTGCCTCTTTGTGTGGGTTGAGTAGCAGAGGAAAGTGGGCGTGACTATGTCTTACCCAAGTGCAGGGGTGGCCCTACTGCTACGTCACTCACTGGCCCAGAGGTCCAGGCCAGGCCCTGATAGCGACTGTCTGAGCAGCTCCTCCCCCTGGGCCTTACCGCCGGACGCCACCGCAGTACCGACAGTCCACCAGGAAGATGCAGCGCAGCGCCCGGGTCACCCGCACGTGGGACGTCTGCCGTACCAACACCACGATGGCCTCAACGAACTGCACCACCAGCACAGAGGTCTGTGGGTGGAGGACACAGTGCGCCTTCAGCTCCTCTGACCCAGCCCCTCCTGTACACCCTGAACAGAGGGCTGGTTGGATACTGCCCAGCCCGACCCGGAGTCGAGAGAGACCTTTCCCTCGCCCTTTCTCACCTCCCCCAACATCAAGTGGGCCCCAGGCAGAAGCCCTCTGGCTGCTGGCATAGATGTGAAGTCCCAGGAGAATGAGCCCCAGGGCGATGCTCCCAGCAGCTCATCAGATGATACCCACTGAGCAAAACTGCTATTCCGCAGGCCACATCCAGCCACCCTCTGCTTCCAGCTCTTCCCACTTGCACCGTGAGGGCCCCTGAGGTCTGCAGCACACCCTGACCTCCAATTCCTTGGGCACATTCTCCTGTACAAGTGTGTGGGCTTTTTACACTGCCAAACGCCACTCTGACACATCCCGACTCACGCCTCTCTCTGCCGCAGAGAGAGGAAGCATATAATATGGTCCTGATCGGCGTGGGCGTGGAGGCCACACAGAGCTGGCTTTGAATCCCAACTCTCCGGGATTTAGATCCCATTCTCTTCCAACTGGCTGCACATAGGCTAGGAAGAGCACTACACCTCCCGCAAACGTCATCGTGCCAGTGCTTGGCACGCACTAAACGCCGAACCACATTCGCTACTGTTAGCATCACTGTGACACCTGGAGCAAGACTGGAAGCATGGCGAGGACAGGGACCCAAGGTTACATTTCTGAGCGCAGGACCAGGCCCGCGGGGACTTGGAATTGAACTGAAGATACAGACTTGAAGTTGACAAGGGAGGAAATGCTGTAGGGAGGTGGGCACAGCACCTTGACCATGGTCCGTCTGTGTCGGATGAAGGTGTGAAGGCCCAGCCACCGCAACTTCATGCAGAGTTCAAACACGACCACCATCAGGGCACACAGCTCCAGGGTCGCGTGGACCTGCAGCCAAAGGGCGTGAAGGAGACGTGGCTTCCCCAGCGCCTGCCCTCCCCCAGCAGCGAGCACACCTGCCCGCCTTTTCCTCTGAAGTTGGAGACTGCTAATCAGTTATGCTGCAAACCTGGGGGCCAAAGCGGGCTACGGGTTCTGAGGCAATCCGAAGGCGCCCCTCCCTGGAATTTACAAAGGAGCAGAATCCCAGGGAGATGGGGGAGGTGCATTCAGTCGGGGGGGGGGACCCCGGGCAAGACATCTGCCCTTCCAGAACGTTCCCTCTCAGTCTTGAGTTCCTCTGCCCCCAGAGAGCCGCGGCTCCCAGCCATCGGGACACTCACGTAAATGCCCAGCCGGAGCGCGGGCACGGCCGGAGCCTCGCACAGGGACAGCAGCAGCAGGAGCAGGGCTGCGGACAGCTCCATCAGGTAGAAGAGGTGGGTGTGAGCAAAGAGGTAGGCCGCCAGCGCTTTGGCATTCTTGGGGTGGGTGAAGAACTTGTCGTTATTCTCACCTTCCTGAAAGACCAAGCGTCACGTGGGCGAACGCGCCTGGAGACCATAGGGCGGCCAGGATGCGTGGTGGGCGGGGAGGGGGGAGGGCCCCTGGCCGGTGGGAGGAGATTCAGGCCAGAGTCGGGAGATGATGGGGAAGCAAAAATGTGATCTTCGTAGAACCGCACACCAGTCAAGTCTCACCCTGGCCCGCTGATGGGGCTCCAAAGACTTGCTTCTTCCCAAAACTACTCAGGGGAATCAAAGAATAAAAAATCCAAGAGATCGAAGAGAAGCGGGCACATCTGGTCCCCTCTGAGGGCAAACGTTCACTCTCAGGTGTGTCTGCAGGACGTTAAGTGCTTGAGGTCCGGGGGG